CGAGATAAATAATGGACAGAGATTAATAATAAACAGAATGATATATATATATATATATATATATATATATATATATATATATATATATATATATATATATATAGATATATAATAAAAGAAGAGAGATAGATAGATAGAATAGATAGATAGATAGATAGATAGATAGATAGATAGATAGATAGATAATCGCTCGTTGATCATTACAATCCCAGAAAATATGTTAAACATTATTCAGCTTGTTTTTTTTTTGTTTATGCTTCTTTATTGGCACATTGAAAATGTAACTTCTCTAAAGATCACTATAAAAATAACTATATCTGTTTATATTTCTAAGATGAGGTATTGTAATTATTTACATTATTTGCATTGTTCTGACTGCTGACCTCATCTGAAGCATTAAGATTGTAACTCCCCAAAATTCATGCACTGATGTCCTCAAGGACACATGGCCCAAACAGTTGGGAGTTCAATACCTGGCTGTTCCAGTGGCTAAAAAAAAAAAAATTCTTGGAGAGTCAGTTAAAGGAGATGACTGAGACATCCGGAAGAGGCATGGCACGTGGAACCAGAACAGTCTACCCCAATGGACGAAATAAAGTGTTTAGTTCAAAATTTCAATCAACTGAAGAAGACCGCAGCTTATAATGTGCAAAACGTCGTGAATATGGCGATAAAGATGAACAATGTAAATAAAAATAACTATAGCAAAACATACTTATTTATCCACTGACTAAATAACACGCACATTCAAAAGAATTAATACCTTTTCGCTAATTTACCAAAACCTTTTTTTTATTACTTCTGTGTGCCATGTCCCTTTAGGACGTTAACGAACATGGCTCACCACATCTTTCTCTCCTAATCTCTGTTCTGCTAAATACAAGCTCTTTATATAGTTTATTTGCTGCTTTTCTATGTCTATCATACCTTCAATATGTCATGTGAGTATCAAATTCTCCAAGCTCTCTTTTCTTATTATTTTCCGTAGAAATTTCAACTGTCTCTTTCTGATTATATGTATAAGCGTCCTTCTTGTCCCCATTTTCCCTAAAACTTCCTCGTTACTCACATGTCCAGTCTATGGGATTCTCAGCATCCTTCAACAGAATCAAATTTCTGTTGCCTCTAATCTCTCCTTCATCTGTGATGAAATTGCCCAGTATTCACTGTCACATAGGATAACTGATATTGACATAGCAGTTATACAGCATTTTCTTCGTTTTAAACGAGATTTTCCTGTCTCTTAGTTAATTGCTTAGATTTTGAAAGGCATCTATCGCTATTCCAATGCGCCTTCGGATTTCGGTGTCGCATTTTAAAATACTTCTTAGACATTTAAATTTTTGTTGTTGCTTGATTTTGGATTATCCAATCCGTCGTGATTTCCTAATGGATCTTGTGAATTCTCTGGTAAAAGAAATAGTTTATTAATCTAAGTTAAACGAAACAACTATATAGTTTATAAGCACCTGGCCAAGGAGTTAGAAAGTTCGCTTTCTGAGACCCGAGTTCATGGTTGATTTACCAGAATGTCAGATGGCTTCTTGATGTCATAGGTCTCCAGGAGGCGATCCCAACGTGCGGCACTTTTAGAAAGGCACCAAGAAATCAAACCACATGCTGACCCAAACCTTGTGAATGAAAATGGATAGTCAGAACCTTTGAGAACCGTCAATAGCCGTGCAAGCATGAAGTCACAAGTCATCTTGACGCGTGCTGTCTTTGCTTAAACTGCTGATCACGCTCTCCCCAAAACTGTATCATAGGTTCGATCAGCATAGATGTAGTGTAGACCACATGTGGTTTCTGTGGGAATTGAACAAACACTAATGTACCTGAGTAGGGTTCTGCAACGGGGATTAGCTAGCCGCCCTTGTAGACTAGCATTTTTTTTTTAATTTACAAAAAACAACGAATGATATGTGAGAGAAATTATTAAATAACCGACAAGAAATAATAATCAAACGAACGAAGTTATCTTCTTCGATACGTTGTTTAATTCACAGTTTCCTCTACACGACCAAGGAGAATTGACGACGGAAATACAACGTTCCAAAACTACTACCACACCAACATAGAACCGACCACAACACCTCTATCCCGACGATTCATGATGATTATTACGGTGATGATGCTGATGATGATGGTTATGACGTATGCGGACAACATGGGAACATCAGCAGGTGAATACAAATCTTTGATTTCTTATAATAATAAAGTAAAAAGAAATTGCACTTGAGAATTCTATGCAAAAAAAAAAGCAAATAAACCAAAAACAAAAACGAAGGAGTGAAAAACGGAGGATTTTCGTTAATGATATAAAATGTTTGTCTAATGGAAACTCTATTTCTCTTTGATGACAATGAAAGCTGAAATTGTCACACCAAAATTAGAAATATGAAGTAACAATTATTTTTAACCATCTCTCTCTCTCTCTCTCTCTCTCTGTCTATCTATCTATATATTAAGAAATGGACAAAGTCCGACAATTTATTTATTAAAGACATTTTTATGTTTAACGTTCTTTTTATAGATACAAGTATTTAAGTAAATGCTCTGTTTATAATAAACAGTATTAAATAACATTTACCGGCCTGAATGTCCGAGAAATTTTCATTGAAAATATTCGTCCTTTGACAGGATCTATCTATCTATCTATCTATCTATCTATCTATCTATCTATCTATCTATCTATCTATCTATCTAAGTCTGTTCATTATCTATCTATCTATCTATCTATCTATCTATCTATCTATCTATTATAGTCTGGTAATCTATATCTATCAGTCTATTCATATCTATCTAAATTTATTTATTTTTCATCATTTCACCCCAAGCAAGGCGGGAATGCGACTAGTACCCCGAGTGAAAGTGAGAGAAAAAACTCGGTATAGGGGGGTTTGAGTAAAATATAATAGATGAACGGAGTCAATCTATCTATCTATCTATCTATCTATCTATCTATCTATCTATCTATATCTATCTATCTATCGCTATCAGTCAGTTCATATCTTTCTCTCATATATATATATATATATATATATATATATATATATATATATATATATAATATATAATGGCTTATTGATTGTAAAGAGAATGGCTATTTTTGACTGTTTTCAATGCACATGGGACTGGGCGATTTGCTTTTGACCCTAGCTACTGATTTACACTACTTTCTTCACTGGGAGCAGATGAGCTTTCTTAATAATTGTTTGGGGTGCTTACTTCTATATTTCCTGCTTTACGAGTTTTCGTATGCAGGCTCAGATCACATTTGGACTGGCAAACCCTGTTACAATCAGCTCTTCTTTCTATCAGCAACCACATGCATGGGAACATATGTCCTGTTCTTGAAAGTCCATTCTTGACGTGAGCACTCATCACAGATAAATGATGGCCTTCAACAGTAATATCCTCCCTTTTTGCACAGATTGTTTCATCTTTTCCTACACACGACTAGACTCAGCAATTCCAGTAATATATACAGGATATTTTCATAACAGATGATTTATTTCAAGCATGATTATAGATATTGATATATCCCAGAAAGGGATATGTTTGATCGAAGTAGCTAAGTGGTTTTGGCTATTGTAACCAAGTAGTACACGGTAGCAGTAATCGACTGGTAATCGTCGTGGTCGCAGGTAGTAGGTGTAGACCAATAGCATAGCCAATGGCGTAGTCCAATGGACGTCGTCATAGACTTAAACTCTGTTGTACCTACACGTCCGTCTGTATTTATGACGGACACAAGTCAATCATATTCCAGTGAGGGGGAACTCAGGTGTATGCATATTCCATTATATCAGATATATAAACGATGTTATAGAGATTGTCAATCCATGAAGATTCCAGTTTTGTTTGGGTTCAATGTTTTTGATGCAGCCTTCTTCGAATTACTTATTTTTGCCCACAAGCGCAATGTCACAAGGCCATCGCTATTTTCATGACAGATGTTCAAACGAGCTCCATACCACAAGTTCAGACAGACACTTCTGCTCAGATCCGCCATGCTGCTTTCATGGATTCAAATCATCCTCATTCTCTCTGTATTTCAATCGCAAGGAGCCAGTTCTACTAAGACTGTTAAATAATAGTTTCAGACTATTATTTTTTAGTGGCAGTGTATTTTGGCTCAGACCTTCTGGGGCTGATTTTTAAGGTCAGGTGGTAGACAAAATACCATTTTGATTGGTTAAAACTAGCGTTAAAGAGATAGAAAGTTTCTTCCTAGCTTTCATTAATCCCACAGTGACCAATATATAGGGCCTGTAAAACATTTGGTTTGAGGCGTAAATCTTACGGTCACCTAGCAGTGTTGATCCCTGCTTACATATGCAAACGTTGTATTTCAGATATCGTGTTATCTTCATCCATAGATATAGCAAATTTTAAATGATAAAAAATACGATGACGCCGATTTATCAACGAAACATGACAAAATAGAAGTTTTCCAGATTTACTGATCCAATCGCTGCTGACAACGCGAACAACGTAATCGCAAATATCACAAAACTTTTCGTTTGGTATTTTTGTTCATTCTCGTTCAATGGTTGCTCTCAATTCAGCAATATTTGCAGGTTTTATAGCGTAGACATGGTCTTTTAAGTGTTGTGAGGTCTGGTGAACGCTGAGGATATTCTACAAAACACCTTCGTTCTGTTTAGCAAGATCTCATCAATGTATGATCTAACTCCACTATTTGGTGTGGATCATCGTTATTAATAGCATGGACTAATCTTGGAATGTAACTTTTCGACTGACAGCGCATTAAAATGCGTTTGATTTTT